AGAGCCCCCTGGGTGTTGCATGGTTCTGCCATTTTGCCCCAGAACCTACCCGTTTCTCCCCACCATTCATCCTTTATCCATTCGTCTATCCTGTGATGTCACCTCTAGATTTCATGGTGGAGGAGAAGACAAGAGACCACTAGACTTGACTGCTGGTCAGCTTTGTCACCCTGAGTGTGTCAGCATTGTAGAGGACATAGGACCCATCCCTTCCCCTGGTGCCATGGCTTCTAGAGACAGAGACACCAATGATGACAAAAACCAATTGGTTGGGGAAAAGAACACTTAGGTTTTAATGACACCTATTCTTTAAAAAAATTTTTTGTATTGAAAGTATAGTTGATTTACAATGTTGTGTTAGTCCCTGGTGTACAGGATAGTGATTCAGTTACACAGGTATACATTCTCTTTCATTATAGGCTATAACAAGATATTATAGTTCCCAGTACTATGCAGTAGGACCTTGCTGCTTATCTATTTTATATGTAGTAGTTATTCTTTTTTTAATACATTTTTTAATGGAGGTATTGGGGATTGAACCCAGGACCTCATGCATGCTGAGCACGCACTCTACCACTGAGCTACACCTTCCCCCGCCAAGTAGGTATTATTCTTGATGCTCTTGGGTTTCATCAGATATCTGGAGTCACTAGAATTTAAGCCTCTCAGGGCAGAGAATGCATCCTCAGTGCTTGTCTAGATTTTGGCAAATTTTCAGGAAACACGTGTGGACTGACTGAGCTTAAGCCTTAGATGAAGAGAGTCATTTGCAAAGATTATTGATACTTCAGAAATAATAGTGGCTTCCCAAACTCCCTGTCATGTGGCACCACCTCCTTCCAGCACAACCCCATAACCTACACGTCAGCTGCTGGAAACGTCCTCCACTCTCACACAGTGGTCTGAGTGCACCTCTGACATTGCACCTGGCCACGAGTCCTGTCCTCGGGGCCCCAGAGTAAATCTCAAAAGCCTAAAATTGATGTCACTCATATTCCCCATCTTCCTCTTATGGCTCTGGATCAAACTCCGAGAAACGTGTTCCTAAGGGAGAGGGTAGAGCTCAGTGATAAGAGTGTGTGCTTAGCGTGCACGAGGTCCTGGGTTCAATCCCCAGTACCTCTAAAAATTGATAAACCTAATGACCTCCCCACCAAATTAAAAAAGAAATGTGTTCCTTGACACCAACAGAGGTATTCTAGTTCAGTTAGCTTGTAACAATGATTCTCTATTGGGGAAAACTTTGCCCCCTAGGGGACACCAGGCAATACTGGAAACTTTTCTTTTTTCAGCCCCCTTTCAAATACATAATCCTGTGTTGTTAGCTGTAGTCACCCTGCTTCACGTTAGATTCCCGAGAACTTACTCCACTTAGAAGCCTTTGACCCGCCTCTCAGCCCCTGTGACCACCATTCCACTCTGTTTCTATGAGTTCAACATTTTTAGGTTCCACATGTAAGTGATACAATTATCCCAAGTGTTAGTCCTTCTCAGATGTATTTCACTTCGCATAATGCCCTCAGGGTCCATCCACATTGTTGCAAGTGGCAGGACTTCCTTCTTTGTCGTGGCTGAGTAGTAGTCACACACACGCGCACACATACACGTGTCTTCTTGACCCACTCATTGATGGACACTTACAGTGTTTCCCTGTCTGGGCTACTTTGAATAACCCTGCAGTGAACATGGGAGTGCTGGCATCTCTTCAAAATGGTGACTTCATTTCCTTCAGATTCCTGCCTGGAAGTAGGGTTGTTGGATCCTAAGGTAGTTCTAGTTCTGATTTTTTTGAGGAAACTTCATACTGTTTCTGATAATGAGTGCACCAGTATACATCCCGCCAGCAGTACGCCAGGCGTCCCTCCTCCCCACCTCCTCACCGACACTCGTTATCGCTTGTCTGTCTGGTGCCCCTCACTCTAACAGGCACTGAGAAGTTGCAGGAGACCGTGTGGCCCCCCGAGGCCCTCAACTCTCTGGCCCTTTACATACAACGATTGCCAACCACCTACTGAGATCATTGGATTCAGTGTTCACTTATCTTCTCCAGGTTCTCCAAACCACGACTCCCTTCATTCACACTCTACACATTTCCACCCCAGAGCTCCCTGAGACTGAGACCTTTTTCATTTCCTAGTATGGCTCAGTGGAAAGTGAGGGTCTTTGGAGCTGCGCAGGCCAGAGTTTGAACTCCACTTCTCCAGGTAGTTGTTGAGTGGCCCCAGCAGGTCACTTCAGCTGTCGACCTCAGGCTCCTCTCCTGCAAAGCGAGGTGGAAACTGTTCTGCAGAATTTTTCTACGAGATGGAAGATGACTTTAGGTCGTACAGTGACATGAGATTCAATAACATTGAATCTGTGTGAGAAGGTCATTCTCTTCCTGTTTTTCTCTGTCTTAATCACGAAGAGGAAGAGCCCAGTTGGGTGCTCTGGCAGGCAGCAGCAGCTAATTCGAACTGAATGGAATTACTTTATTTCCCCTACTGACTGTGTGCTGATGGTTATCCTCTGTTTTTGATGAGAGATACCAATTTCTCAGTAACAGAAGTGTTTTACAGGTCTTCTTTTAAAATAGAGTTGTTTTTTTTTAAAAAAGAAATATTTAATATTTAAAATAGAGTAGCAAAAGGAAAACAAATAACCCAATCAAAAAATGGGCAGAAGACCTAAATAGACAAATCTCCAAAGAAGACACACAGATGGCCAACAGGCACATGAAAACATGCTCAACACTGCTAATTATCAGAGAAATGCAAATCAAAACTACAATGAGGTATCACCTCACACCAGTCAGAACAGCCATCATTCAAAAATCCACAAACGACAAATGCTGGAGAGGCTGTGGAGAAAAGAGAACCCTCCTACACTGCTGGTGGGAATGCAGTTTGGTGCAGCCACTGTGGAAAACAGTGTGGAGATTCCTCAAAAAACCAAAAATAGACTTACCGTGTGATCCAGCAATCCCACTCCCAGGCATGTATCCGGGAAAGATGAAAACACTGATCAGAAGAGATACAAGCACCCCAGCATTCCCAGCAGCACCATATACAACAGCCAAGACGTGGAAGCAACCTGAGTGTCCACAGACAGATGACTGGGTAAAGAAGATGTGAGATATATACAATGGAATGCTACTCAGCCATAAAAAAAAAGAATGAAAAATGCCGTTTGCAGCAACATGGATGGACCTAGAGATGATCATACTAAGTCAAACAGAGAAAGACAAATAGTATGTGTTGTCACTTACATGTGGAATCTAAAAACTAGTACAAATGAACTTATTTACGAAACAAAGAGCCTCAGACATAGAAAACAATCTTACGGTTACCCAAGGAGAAGGCAGGTCGGGATCATTTTTATTTTAAGGAAATGTTTTAAAATAATAATACAATAAAATAGAGTTGTTTAAAAAACAATAATATAAAACCCCAAGGCAACTTGAAGAAGAATATCACGCAGGAAAGAAAACAGATGTCACATACAGAGGGCAGAATGTCCCTGGGGACTTCAGGAATGACTGGATTTTGGAAAACAGGCAGAGGAAAATGTGTGTGAAGTACCCAACATACTCCTCGTACATGACATGTATTCAGGAAATGGACGTTTCTATCCCTTGCTTATCCACCTGACCCTAATACCTAACCCGCAGGTCACACCAACTCCAGCTGCGCAACAGCCTGGCCCACCACCACCTGCAACACCTTGTCCTCCTGTCCCCCGAGACGCACCAACGCAGAGCAGGGTCAGGAGTCGGGAGATCATGCTGGTCCGTCTGCGCCTCTTCCAAGATCTTCCGCCAACGCTGCTGCTGGTGGTAAGCCCGAGTGTTCTCCGGACGCCCGTTGCTGTGCGGCAGGCAGACAGACCTGATTTGGTAACAGAGTTGCTGTAACAGCCTTGCTCCAGCTTTTTAAACCTCTAGTGTCACATACCCACAGTTTCTATCACATAGTCACAATCAGGAAATGACAACTACTTATTGCAACAGGCTCTCAAGCCACCTCAGGGACCTCCGACAGCTCAGACCTCAGATTGTCCAATTCTAAGGCATATTCACAAATCAAAGCAAAGTGGTGAGAAACTGCTGGTTGGTTGTTTATTTTCTTGTAATGGAGGGACTGGGGATTGAACCAAGGCCCTCATGCATGTAAGCACACACTCTACCACTGAGCTGTTCGCCACGTCCTCTATAGCCCAGTGTTTGTAAAGTAGTATTCTGAGTAGTAGAATGGTCAGTCTTCTTTTCCCTCTTGTTTATATGAATTTTCTAAATTTGCTGAAATTGATGTTAGTTTTAAATGGTTTTTTGTTCCTTTTTTTATATTTTATTGAGGTATAGTTGATTTACAATATTATATAAGTTTTAGGTGTACAATAGAGTGATTCACAATTTTTGAAGGTTATACTCCACTTGTAGTTACTACAAAATATGGGTTGTATTCCCTGTGCTGTACAATATATCCTAGTTGCTTATTTATTTTACACACAGCAGTTTGTACCTCCTAATCCCCCATCCCCATCTTGCCCCTCCCTCCTTCCTTCTCCCCACTGGTAACCACTAGCTTGTTCTCTTGTTATCTGTGAGTCTGTTTCTTTTCTGTTATATTCACTAGTTTTATTTTTTTATATTTCACATTTAAGTGATGACATACGGGATTTGTCTTTCTGTGTCTGACTTATTTCACTTAGCGTAATACCCTCCAAGTCCATCCATGTTGTTGCAAATGGCAAAAATTAATTCTTTGTTATGGCCAAGTAATATTCCACTATATATATATACACACACACACACACCATATATATGTATTGTATATACACATACCATATATATACACCACATCTTCTTTATCTATCATCTGTTGATGGACACTTAGGTTGCTTCCATGTCTTGTCTACTGTAAATAGTGCTGCTCTGAACATTAGGAGTGCATGTATCTTTTTGAATTAATATTTTCATTTACTTCAGACATATACCCAGGAGTGGAATTGCTGGCTCCCACTTTAAATGTTTTTAAGTTTTAAGTGAGGTGCTTTGGGATGAGAAAAACTGAGTTTACAAAAAAGAGTGAATGCTTCTAGAGCTTAGAGTTTGGAGCCACTGAGTTTATGGACCGATACAAGGACTGTCACGTAAACATGCAGGTGGAACACACACATTTCTTCCTGAAACCTCATGAAAAGACATTAAGGAGATGTAAGAAAAGCACATAAACTTAGGAGGAAAAAGGCAATGAGAGAGGAAATAATATGACAATAAATGTCAACACAATTTTAATAAAATTAATAAAGGGAAACCTCAGTAAAATGGGAGAACAAAAATGGAGAAGGGGGAGCTGTCAGGTCCTGCTGCTAGAGTCAGTTGCATTCCCCACAGGAAGAAGGGTACCTGCACCCCCAGACAGAAGGCAAGACCGCTTTACTGTCCCAAAGGAAAAATTTTCTCCTTCCCTGGCAACAGCTCAGCCAGTGAGACACTGTCATAACTCAGCCGATGAAAAGCCACTGTACTCCACCCTCTCAGTTTCTCCAGTGGGCATTTTGTTTACAGCAGTCCCGTCCAACTTCCCCTTCTCTGTGAAAGAGTTTCCTCCCCTTTGCTTTACTCAACTGTCTACAGCACAGCGAACTGTATTCAGTGTCTCATAGTAACATACGATGACAAAGAATATGAAAAGGAATATATGTATGTATACATATGACTGAAACATGATGCTGTGCACCAGAAATTGACACATGGTAAACTGACTATACTTCAATTAAATAATAATAATAACACAGAATTCTCAGTCTTTTGTTAAAGTAAGAAACCCAGCAAGTCGTTGGTTTTTTGTGTTTTTTTTGACCCCTGGTTCCTTTGGAAGAAGACCAGAATACTCCTGAGGCTCTGTCGTCTTAGTAGGTCTTAGTCACCTTACCATTTCAGGAATCCAGAAAATCAGTTAGGCCACAAAGTATCAAGGAGGGAAACCAATTATAATCACAGATGTTTCTTGGAAAGTTATTTTCGAAAGACGTGACCATGATTTCCGTGACTTTTTTGAGGTTATTATAAGACCCTTTTGGTCAGATACCAGAACAGATGCATGTCCGTTCATTTCAACAGCACAATTTACTAAGAGTCGTGAAGATTCGTGTCCTTCTCCATGTTGCGCCAGAAAACAAGCTTGATATTCTCAGTAATGCTTTCAAACCAGCGCCTCATCTACCCAGCTTCCGTAAACCAGTTTTATGACTCAGAAAGTTCTTCCTCCTAGGGTTTTGTTTTTTTTTTTAATGGCTTTTCCATTCCATAGACATGAATGGTTAAATTACTGGCTACTGATGATTAACTCAATCTCCAGCCCATCTCCCCTCTCTGGGGGTTGGTGGCAGGTTGAGGGGTGATGAAATTTCCATGCATCTAATCAAGTCTTGGTCTTTCTAATAACCAGCCCCCTAGACACCCACCAAGAGTGGCCTCATTAGAACAGATGACACGCCTGTCAACCCTCCTCAATCAGGAAATGCCAAAGGTTTTAGGAGCTCCGTGCCAGCAACCAGGGGCAAAAGCCAAATAAATACCTTTTTGCCTAGCCCAAGAGTTGCACCTGGACTACTGCTAAGCGTTTTTATATTCTGCAGCCCCCGTCTGAGGGACACAGAGCAAAAAGACTCACCCTTCATCAGAACCCAGGAAGCAGTGAGAAGCTTTCTCATGAAAGCCTCCCAGGGCAGAGAAGAAGGCGAGTGGGAGGTAGCAGTTCCTCACAAGCCTCTCATCTTCCCATGTTCCAGGAGGATCTTAAGGCTTCCTGCCAAGACTCAGATTAGCTGCAGCTCAAGCCTCTGACTGGTACGGGATGGGAGAGGTTTCCAGGACCCCACAGCAGGTCTGCCCCCTTACGGTGGCATGAGCTTTCCGGACTTCTTTAGAAATAAGCAATGGATACAAGGTCTCCCCAAGGATGCTGTTGTGATGCCTACGTGTCTCCCCAAAATTCTTACATTGAAGCCCTAACTCTCAACGTGCTGGTATTAGGAAGTGGGGCCCCTGGGAGGTAATTAGGCCTAGGTCATGAGGGCGGAGCCCCCGTGATGGGCTGAGTGCCCCTATGAAGAGGTGAGAGACATCCCTCTCTCCCTCTCTCTGTCTCCCTTTTCTGCTCGCTCTGAACCACATATGAAAGGTGCATGTTGATAAAAAGCAAAGCTATTGATAAACAGCCCTAAACTGTTCAACTGTGTTCTGTTAAGTGAGAGAGAAATAAATTTATATATTTTTTTTCCTTGGGGAGGGGATCTGTTTCTCACAGCAGCTTTAATTGCTGCTCATCAAGACAGTGAGCAGCAGTTTGGTTAATGCTTTACTCCGTGAGCTTCAAGAGAGTAGAGTTCATGTCTGCTGTTACTCCCAAGATCACCCCCAGCACCTCACACAGTAGGTCACCCCTGGCAGCCCTTAAATATGTGTGCAGCAAGTGGATGGATGAGGACTTGGGGGAAGCAGGTGCATGGACAGAAGCGCACGTCCTAAGGGTGAAGACGCCTGGGGGTGTGGAATCCGAAAGAAGATGCCATTGAAGCTAATGGTAGTCATTTTTCTTGTTATAACTATTGCTGTTATAACAAACTGTCACAAACTAAATGGCTTTCAGTTCTGGAGGAGAGAAGTCCAAAATAGGTTGGCAGGCTGCATTCCTTCTAGAAGGCTCTAGGGGAGAATCCAATTCCCTTCCTTTTCCAGCTTCTAGAGGCACCTGCATCCCTTGGCTCGTGGCCTCGCATCTCACTGACCTCTGCCTCCATCTTTTAAAAAAATTGTAACACCTTTATTGTGGTATGGTTCCTGTACAGTAAACTACATGTATTTCAGATGTACAATTTGATGAATTTTAATAGATGTATACATACACCCATGTAACTACCACCACAATCAAGATAGCTAACATTTCCATCACTCCCCGAGAGGTGCAAATTTCAAATTCCCAACTTATCCCTTCTCACTCACTTTCCCCCTTGGTAACCATAAGTTTGTTCTTCATGTCTGTGAGTCTGTTTCTGTTTTATAGATAAGTTCATTTATGTCCTTTTTTTTAAGATTCCACATATAAGAGATATCATATGGTATTTTTCTTTCTTTTTCTGTCTTATTTCACTTAGAATGACAATCTCCAGGTCCACCCATGTTGCTGCAAATGGCATGATTTTATTCTTTTTCATGGCTGAGTAGTATTCCATTGTGTGTGTCTATATACCACGTCTTCTTTATCCAGTCATCTGTCAATGGACATTTGGGTTGTTTCCATGTCTTGTCTGTCTCCATCTTCACATTGCCTTCTATAACCCTGAGCCCTTTGCCTCCTTCGTAAGTATTATATTGAACCCATCCAGACTATCCAGGATAATCTCCCCATAGCATGATTCCTCATTAAGTCACATCTGTGAAATCCCTTTTGCCACATATAATGTATTCACAGGTTCTGGGAATAGGGACACTACAGGTCTGGGGGACCAGGACTCTGTCCACCATAAACGGGTGAAAGGATGGAGCCTACTTTCAGAGGGAAGAGCTCATCCAGTAAGAATGTGTGTGTTTCCTAAAACCTCCTTTGTGCCAGGCCCTGGAGATGTGGAGATAAACCGACCTGGTCCCTCTTGGGAGGAGCTTGTGGTCTAGTCTGGGAGAGAGAGTTAATTTATAGCAAATAGGGTGATGATAGGGCTCTATGCGAGCACAGATGGGTGCAGGCAAAAGTTTGCAGAGGAAGCAGCATCAAATCTGAGAGCTGAAAGATGAGTAGCATGAACCAGACAGGAGAGAACAGAGAGACTGGACCAGATGTATCACAGTCTCATTACAAACATCTTGGACACTCTGAGCTTTTACAGGTGACAAGTGAAAGGAACCACTGCCTCGAAAACCATACATTGCTTTGCAGTTATTTGATGTGATAACATTCCCCTTTCTCTTCCTCATTTGAAAGTGAAAGTGGGGGAGGAGACACACCAATGAAACCGAGAAGTCTTGACTCAACAGCCTGGAAGACATTGTTGTTGCTTCTAAGAGACAGCCACGGGGTGGGGGGCGGGACCCACAGTCTAACCACACAGACTCCCTGAAGTCCCAGGTGAGATATCTGTCTGTGTCTCAGAGGGCTGTTGGTGATATCTAGGGATAGCATATGTGGATCGCCTGGTAGAGAGAGGTGTTCAATGGTAGAAAGTGAAATCAGTGTTAGGACTACTGTTCACTCAATAAGCATGTATTGACCACCTGGTCTCTAGGAAGCCTTGTGCTAGTCACTGGGTGAACTGCTTTTGGATGTAGTGGATGGATAAATGCATGGGTAAACTGATGGATACTGAACAAGTAAATAGGTGAGCAGATGAATGAATTGATGGATTAATGAAGGCGGGAATGGGTGAACGGATGTAAGAATGAATGATAGACAAGGGCAAATGAAAGAATAGGTGGGGGGAGGGTATAGCTGAACTGGCAGAGCGCATGCTTAGCATACACAAGGTCCTGGGTTCAATCCCCCGTACCTCCTCTAAAAATAAATAAGTAAACCTAATTACTGCACCCCCAAAAAATTAAAATAAAAAGAAAGAATAGGGAGATGTGCAAATAAGGACATGTGAACAGGGGACAGACAGAAAATAGTAAGGATAAGAAGGAAGCAGTGGGTGGATGATGGAATGAATGCATGAGGAAGCTTCATATTGCCTCTAATTTCCCGTTTGTAAAGTGGGCAGATGGGATGTGATGACTTGGCAGCCCCAAGTCTGGTTCCCTCCTACAGACCTCCTCCCTCCATCTCCCGAATCCACACGTGCCAGGAGGATTGCTCTGGATGTGCGCTACCAGGGTCCCACGTTGGCACCAAGAACAAACCAGGAGAGTTCCAGCTCTTCAGCAAGTCAGTGCACGTGGGCAGCGGATTTGACTGCAAAATACAGTTCTGTTTCATCTCACAGGTGAGTTCCCTAATCGCACCCGCTCAGAGAATTGGGTGTTGAAATAACACGATTTTATGCTGTTTACTCACCTCTTAAATTTACCAATCTTGATACAGGATCTGGTTTAGGTCAGTTTCTGAAACAAAAATAACACATCAACAAATATGGCTCATCTTTCCTCAAATCATGCATGTGTGTGTGTGTGTGTGGAGAGAGAGGTGTAGGGGTCGTTATGTCAATGAAGGGACTGGTAGCCAGCATTTTTAATAAAATAGAATATGTCAGTGCATCCATATAATAGAACTAAATATCATTTCACAGAACTTGAATTTTAGTTTATAGATACAACAGTGGTCAAGATGTAAACTTTGCTTCTTAATCTATGTCCTGTCCCCAAAGGAGGGGGTGAGGGAGTTAAAGCAGCTGATTAAGGTGGTTTTTTGGCGGGGGCGGTAATTAGGTTTATTTATTTATGTATTTAATGGCGGTACTGGGAATTGAACCCAGGACCTCGTTCGTGCAGCACGCGCTTTACCACCGCCCTATACCCTCCCCCACAATCTAACGTTTTGCGATCTTTCTCCATGTGTTGTGGACAAGTTAATTCTCTCTAGAGCCGAGGAGGTAGAAATTTTCAGTGTCTCCTTTCACAGATGAAAATTCAGAAGTCTCTGTAGGTTGTTAAAGTCTACCTACCTAGAGCGGTGGGGCTGGGGCTGTCTCCAGAAATGGAAGTCATTCTCTTACCCATAAAGTGTGAAGAGGGGAAGGGAAAGTTGGGAATTTTAATAAAACAGAAGAGGAAGTATGTTCCACCAAAATTAGGCATAAATTAAGAACACGCGAGTGAGTGGTAAGGCTTGGAGACGGAAAATGTGAGTAAGAGGATGAGAAAGACATTAAGATGGGCCAGATTAAAATAGAAGTTAAGTGAATACATTCAGGAGAAACTGTGCAAGCAGCCCAGCCTTCTGGAAGGATGATTTTGAGTCCAGATCAAAACTCCACTGCGCACGCGCCACTTGCTGTTGCTTTAGCAACGGACGCCCACCTAGTGTCAGTGACGGTTCAAGGGAAACAGCTGGGCGCAAATCAAGCTGTAGTTAGAGACGAAATTCTACTTGGTCTGATGTTGGTCCACCTTTGGGAGGGTCTGAGGAGGAGTTTGGAAGAGGTTTGCCTGGGGCCAAGAGCGATGTGGGGAAGGGAGTGAGGGTGAGTTGCTTAAAAGGTGGGCTGGAGCATGCGCGATGGAAACAAAAACAACTGGCACTCATCAGGGTTCTGAGTTTGGTCGAAATCGCTGTTACATCGCAGGCAACGTTTATTGAGCATTTACTGTGAGTCAGTCACGGTTTTGAACGCTTCACGTTCATTGTCTACTTAAGCCTACAGCAACCCTTTGAGATGGGTGTTACCAGTGCTCCCATTTTGTAGACAGAGCAACCGAGGCTTGGGAAGGGTCCCTTTCCTGATATCCCACAGGGAGTGAGCAGAAGCACTGGGATTCGAACTCAGGTCTTCTGGCTAGGAAGCCTTAACCACGGATAGTGCCTTTCACTGACCTGGGAGGTCCTGGAGAAAGACCTGAAAGGAAGGTCGAGGGCGTGATGTTAAGGTTACTATTATTAGTCGGGAAGCTGGGCTCAGCGGAGAGGGCTGTGGGGCTCCTGGAAGGGCCGGTCCAACTCAAGAGGTCCCAGCTTCTTCTCCACCCTCTCTGGGAAGTGTTCTCTGTCCTCTGGGACTCAGGCCCAGACTCTACCAGGGGCGCGAATCTGGCTGCGCCAGTCATAAACGACCAGCGTGCCCAGCGCGATGAGGACCAGGCCGGCCAGCCCCAGGCGGACGAGGTTGCCCTGGGTGTAGTCCGAGGAGCCTGAGCCTGCGGGGCCAGCAAGGGGGAGAGGCGGTCAGCGTCCGAACCCGCAGTCTCGGCCCACCCTCTGGGTCTCTAGCCTCCAGGCTTGGGTTGAGAGGCAACACCCAACTCAAACTGGAGGGGTTCCACGGGAGCAGGGGTCCGGGACCCCTGGGTCTGAGGGAGGAGGACTTGGGGGCTGGACTCCTGGGTCTGAGGGAGGAGGGGGCTGGAAGGCTGGACCACTGGGTGTGAGGGAGGAGGAGGCTGGGGGCTTGGTCCCCTGGGTCTGAGGGAGGAGGGGCTGGGGCCAGGTCCCCTGGG